GGAGTTTGGCAAGGCTGTATACTGTCTCCCTGTCTATTTAACTTATATGCAGAGCACATCATGAGAAAGGCGGGCCTAGATGAGTCACCAGTTGGAATTAAGATTGCTGGGAGAAATATCTTCAGCCTCAGATATGCAGATGATACCGCTCTCATGGCAGAAAGTGAAGAGGAACTAAAGAGCCTCTTGATGCGGCTGAAGGAGGAGAGTGCAAAAGTTGGCCTGAAACTCAACATTAAGAAAACTAAGATGATGGCATCCGGTCCTCTCACTTCCTGGTAAATAGATGGGGAAGAAATGGAGATAGTGACAGATTTTATTTTCCTGGGCTCCAAGATCACCGCAGATGGGGACTGCAGTCAAGAAATTAAAAGACGTTTGCTCCTGGGGAGGAGAGCTATGGCAAATCTAGACAGCATACTAAAAAGCAGAGACATCACCCTGCCAACAAAAGTGCGTATAGTCAAGGCTATGGTTTTCCCAGTTGCAATGTATGGCTGTGAAAGCAGGACCATAAGGAAGGCTGAGCGCCGAAGAATTGAGGCCTTTGAATTGTGGTGCTGGAGGAGACTCCTGCGAGTCCCTTGCACTTCAAGGTGATCAAACCGGTCAGTCCTTGATGAGATCAACCCTGACTGCTCTTTAGAAGGCCAGATCCTGAAGATGAAACTCAAATACTTTGGCCACCTAATGAGAAGGAAGGACTCCCTGGAGAAGACCCTAATGCTGGGCACAATAGATGGCAAAAGAAGAAGGGGACGGCAGAGGATGAGGTGGCTAGATGGAGTCACTGAAGCGGTTGGTGTGAGCTTCGGTGGACTCCAGGGGATGGTGGAGGACAGGAGGGCCTGGAGGAATGTTGTCCATGGGGTCGCAATGGGTCGGACACAACTTTGCGACTAACAACAACAACAAGAGTACCTTGTTGACTTTAAATTTTTGCTTTTTCACACTGACAGACATGAAAGAGAAATGAAAACCCATGAAAGAGTTCACACGCTTGACCTGGTTTTCTCAACGGGATGGGAAGAGGGTGGCCTGGAAGTGAGAAACTTGATCTTGACTCCTCTGTCATGGTCAGACCACTTCCTCATGAGATTTGAGCTCGGTTCTGATCTCTCCCTCCGGAAGGGTGGGGGCCCTATTAGGATGGTCTGCCCCTGGAGCCGGATGGATCCAGATGGATTGCTGATGGCTCTGGAGGATTTTCCGGCAGATAAAGCGGGTGCTTCTGTTGATGTCCTGGTCAACTCGTGGAATAGGGAGATGACCAGGGCAATCAACACAATCGCTCCTAAGCATCCTCTCCTGCCTAGCAGAGCCCGCTCAACACCATGGTATATGCCTGAGTTGCAGGTGATGAAGCAGACTGGGAGATGACTAGAGCACAGGTGGAGGAAATCTCGGGACGAATTTGACCGAACACACTTACGTGCACATTATTGTGTCTATGCTGTGGCGGTGAGGGCGGTGATGAGGGAGTTCTCCACTTCCATTGCTTCCTCACAGTGTCGTCTGGCAGAGCTTTTCCGAGTGGTGCAACGCCTCATACATTCTGGCCAGGAGAAGGAAGTGGTCGCACCTTCGACAGCCCGCTGTGATAACTTTGCCCAGCACTTTAGGGAAAAAGTCGCTCAGATTTGCCACGATCCAGACTCCACAGTTGATTTGAATCCAGTAGGGGAGGTGTCCAGAGCACTGTCTGGTCCATCATTATTGGATGAGTTTCAGTTATTGCGGTCTGATGATGTGGACAAGGTGCTTGGAATGGTACATCCCACCACCTGTCTCCTGGACCCTTGCCCCTCTTGGCTACGGGATTGGTCCCTGGGTCCAGGAGGTTGTCAACGCCTCACTGAGGGAGGGCTGGGTCCCTACCCCCTTGAAGGAGGCAGTGATCCAGCCTATCCTGAAGAAGCACCAATAAACTGAGCCTCAATCCAGATAAGACAGAAGTCCTGTTGGTGGGTGGATCACGGTTTCAGGTAAGTGACTTTGACCTTGTCCTGGATGGGGTAGCACTCCCTCTAAAGGACAGGGTCCGCAGCTTGGGAGTGCGCCTTGACCCAGAGCTGTCACTGGAATCCCAGGTGGTGGTGGCGGCGGCAAGGAGTGCTTTCCTACAGCTTTGGATGATCCACCAGCTGCGCCCTTACCTGGACAAGCACTGCCTAGCAACAGTGATTCATGCTCTGGTAACCTCCCGGTTGGATTACTGTAATGTATTCTACTTGGGGCTGCCCTTGAAGACAGTCCAGATACTTCAGCTGGTGCAGAACAGAGCTGCCAGGTTGCTGACGGGGACCGGTTGTTATTCTCATATAACGCCAGTCCTCTACCAGCTACACTGGCTTCCAGTTGAAGTCTGGGCCCAATTCAAGGTGCTGGTTTTAACCTATAAAGCCCTGAACAGCTTGGGACCAGGATACCTGAAGAAGCGCCTCTTCTCTTACATGCCCTCATGCCCCTTAAGATATGTGGGAGAGGCTTTGCTCCGGGAGCTCTCTTTACAGGAGATAAAAAGAAGAAATACCTGGAGCAGGGCCTTCTCTGTGGTGGTGCCCAGATTATGGAATGCACTCCATGGAGAGGTGCACCTGGCACTGAGTTTATATTCTTTTCGGCACCAGGTTAAACCTTTTTATTTAATTGTTATTTTAAAAAATAATATTTTTATCGTTAACAGTCACTTTTTTTGTTTTTTTAAATATATTTTTATGGAATTTGTATTTATTGTTTTTAATTGTACATTTGTGAGCCGTCCCGAGATGCCAAGGCATGTGGTGATGGCATATAAACATTTTAAATAAATAACTAATACATAAACAGTGGGGAGCCACAGAAGGAATTTCATGTTTTGGGAAAACAGACTGTACCTTTATGACAGTAACTTTACTTTTTGGGGGTGAGCTATAAAGTGCAGGAGGACATCAACATCTCTCTTACAGAAGGCCTGGTTTCCTCTTCTTTGAAGGAGGCACTGATAAGACCACACCTGAGAAGATGACCTTGGACCCAGAGGATGTCACCAATTATAGACCAATGACTAAATCCCGTTTTTGGGCAAAGTGCTTGAGGGGGTGGTGGCCAAGCAACTCCAGGCACTCTTGGAGGAAACTGACCATCTAGACCCATTTCAATCTGGTAGCAGGACAGAAACTGCCTTGGTCACCCTGTGGGATGACCTTTTCCAGGAGAGCTACAGGAGGTGCTGCTCCTACATGGCTGGATGATTCCAGACAGTTTTGGTAGGAGATTGTGGCTCGCTGTACCATGGTAGTTATGCCATGGGGTTCCTTGGGATCCCATTGTCTCCCCTATGCTGTTCAATATCAACATGAAACCACTTAAGAGGTCATCCAGAGGTTTGGGCTGAGGAGCCATCCGTATGCTGATGACACCCAGCTCTACCTCTCATTTACATCTAATCCAGTGAGGCAGTGACTGCTCTAAACAAGTGTCTGGACAGTGTGATAGGCTGGATGAGGGCCAGTAAATTGATGCTCAGTCCAGGTAAGACAGAAGTGTTGCTGGTGGATGGGCTGACTGTTCAGGTAAATTATATTTGCCCTGCCTTGAATTGGCTTGCACTCCCCCTATGGCACAGGATATGCAGCTTGGGAGTACTCCTTGACCCCAAGTTGTCCCTGGAATTCTAGGTGGCATCTGTGGCAAGGAGTGCTTTCTTTCTGCTGAGGCTGGTCTTTCAGCTGTGCCCTTACCAGGGCAGTAGCATACACTGGTAATCTCCCACTTGGGCTATTGTAATGTGCTGTATGTGGGGCTGCCCTTGAAGACGACCCAGATGTTGCAAGTGGTCCAAAATAGAGCTGCCAGATTGCTGACTGGGACTGCTAGACGGGAACATATTACACCTGTCCTATGTCAGCTGCACTGGCCAACAATTGAAGTCTGGATCTAATTTAAGGTGCTAATGATGACATATAAAAGCTCTAAAAGGTTTAGGGCCCCAGTATCTAAGGCAGGGGTCTCAAACTCGCAGCCCGCGGGCCAATTGCCGGGATGGGCAGGGCACGGGGGAGGGGCCCTGCGGCCTTCAAAGCACCGGCGGCGTCCAGGTCGGCTGCGGGATGAGCAGCCCACCACCACTGCGGTGGTGGAATACTAGATGTGGCCCAGCCTCACCCAGACTCTACTTCCAGCAGCCTCCAGGTAAGTTGAGTTTGAGACCCCTGATCTAAGGGAATGTTTCCTTCCACATGAGCCTGCTTGGACCCTGAGATCATCTGTGGAGGCCATCCTCCAAAAGCCCTTCTTGAAAGATGTGGGGGCTGTTACAAGGAGAAGGGCCTTTTCTGCAATAGTGCCCCAGTTATGGAACTCACTCCCCAGAGAGGGGCGCCTAGTGCTGACACTTTATTCATTCTAGCGCCAGGCCAAAACCTTTTTATTTCCCCAGTTTTTTAATTGATAATGATATTTTCATTAGCAACATCAAGTACTCACACTTAGAAGTTTTTTAAAATTGTTTTATTGCTGTAATAATGTTTTTTTTTCTTTTGTGTTAATCATCTTGAGATTTCTTATGATTTGAAGGTATACAAAAACTATAAATAAATTGTCCTAAACTATAATTGTATTATCTGCATAGTAGTCTAGAATTATTATTGTCAGTATTTCTTTGCATTATTCCTTTTGGCATACAAAACTCTTGAATATTCCTTTCCTGTTTATTGCAAGTCTTTATTGTGGGCTGTGAATCCAGATTAAGGTCCATGGGGCTGGGGTGGGAAGAGCTGCATGGGAAAAGCAGTAGTCTTGGAGTAAGGCATGGCTCCTCCAAATCAAGAGAGATACCTTCCAAGAGCCACCTAGGAAGGACTTTGGCGGTTATAGGTGGCATATAAATATGTGAATAAATGAATAAATAAGTGGTGCTCTTCTGCCAATGGAGGGAAAAACCTGCATCAACTGTATAAAGTAATGGTCATATAATTCATTTTATTACAAAGTTTGAATGATCTTGTATCACCCTGCAGGAATCTTGCAAACCAAGTCCTCCTCAAAAGCCTTTGCCAGCAGATCCTCAGAAAAGCAAAGCTGCTCAATTTAATAAAGCCACCGGATCAAAAGCTGTACTTCCAAAATCTGTGCCTCAGATTGCTCCTGCCAGGTTAGTTTAGTTGTCCAGTCATGTCTTTCCAACAATGTAAAACACCCATTTTGCTAGCTGCTTCTCCCAGAAAATACTTTTAGTCATCTAAGGAAAGATCAGGTGTTTGTATAAGGAGATCTCACAAGGTAAGACATCCTATAACTTATATAATCAATGCATTCCTGTACAGTGAATCTGCGACCAAAGCCCATGAAAAAGCGATCTTAATTTTAACTGAGAGAAATTCCATGAAACAGAAAATAGATTGGGTTCAGATGGATGCATGTACAACCAAGCTGGTGCACAGGATAGCTCCCTATACTTTCATCTCCACAGCAGCTCCTCTAACACCTGGGAAATGCTACAGAGCAGGTGGAGTTGCATGACAGAGTAAGCCATAAGAAGCTGTGCAGTGTGACTGAAAACTACCAGAAGTACAGGCAGGGTTTTGAAGAAGTAGAGGAAGTAGAGGAAGAAGTAGAGATCAAATTGCCAACATACACTGGATCATGGAGAAAGCTAGGGAGTTTCAGAATAACATCTACTTCTGCTTCACTGACTATGCTAAAGCCTTTGATTGTGTGGACCACAACAAATTTGGCAAGTTCTTAAAGAGATGGGAGTACCAGACCATCTAATTTGTCTCTTGAGAAAAGAGACCAAGAAGCAACAGTGAGAACTGGACATGGAACCACTGATTGGTTCAAAATTGAGAAAGGAGTTCGGCAAGGCTGTATACTGTTGCCCTGCCTATTTAACTTATATGCAGAGCACATCATGAGAAAGGCGGGCCTAGATGAATCACTAGTTGGAATTAAGATTGCCAGGAGAAATATCAACAACCTTGGATATGCAGATGATACCACTCTAATGGCAGAAAGTGAAGAGGAACTAAAGAGCCTCTTGATGCGGGTGACGGAAGAGCACAAAAGTTGGCTTGATACTCAACATTAAGAAAATTAAGATCATGGCATCCAGTCCTATCACTTCCTGGCAAATAGATGGGGAAGAAATGGAGGTAGTGATAGATTTTATTTTCCTGAGCTCCAAGATCACTGCAGATGGTGACTGCAGCCAAGAAATTAAAAGATGCTTGCTCCTGGGGAGGAAAGCTATGGCAAATCTAGACAGCATACTAAAAAGCAGAGACATCACCCTGCCAGCAAAAGTGCATATAGTCAGTTGCGAGATGGTATGGTTGTGAAAGCTGGACCATAAGGAAGGCTGAGTGCCAAAGAATTGAGGCCTTTGAATAGTGGTGCTGGCGGAGACTCCTGAGAGTCTCTTGGACTGCAAGGAGATCAAACCAGTCAGTCTTAGAGGAGACCAACCCTGACTGCTCTTTAGAAGGTCAGATACTGAAAACTCAAAACTCTGGCCACCTAATGAGAAGGAAGGACTCACTGGAGAAGACCCTAATGCTGGGAACAATTGACTGCAAAAGAGGGACAGCAGAGAATGAGGTGGCTAGATGGAGTCACTGAAGCAGTCGGTGTGAGCTTAAGTGGACTCCAGGGGATGCTGGAGGACAGGAAGGCCTAGAGGAATGTTGTCCATGGGGTCACAATGAGTCAGACGCAACTTCATGATTAGCAACAACTCACAATGCACCCAAGGGATGAACAGGTATGTCATGAGCAGTAGAATCCATTCCTCTGCACTCTCTCGAGGATTGTAAAAGCTGTCTCAAGTTTTCACAATATCTGAAAAAAAGGGAAAAGGCAGGTGGATAAAAAAGCAAGAGTGAGGGGAGAGTTGGGAAGCCCATGCCAGTCATCTTAATTGTTGTATGAGCGTTTTGTGGTGGTTGGCAGTTCCTTTGGCCTAGGAGCTACTTGGCAAGAGAGGCAAGAGGGGTTTAATACTCTTGTTTTCCAGGGGAGTTGACCCAGTAGGAGGCAGGGTACAGATGATATGCCTATGTTCTGTCAGGGACAGAACAACAGCTAAAACAAGTCACGGGTTGTCAGATTGACGCATAATCCAAACCAAAGCCACCTCAGCAAGCCCATGGTAGGTTTGGACTCCATGTCAGTCAGAAAGACAAGTGATCTGCTGAATGGAGTAGGCCATGGGGGAAAAGGGATGAGGGATCTTCCAAGATCAAGCAGAAACACTTTCTTTGAGCAGAGTCTTTCCCTCAATGGAAGGTAGACAGATTCCAACTGAGTCCAGCCTTGTTTCACTGAAGTTCTGCCATTAAATACTGGGTAGGATTTCATTGATGATCTTTCAGTAATATAACATTTAGTGAATGATTCTACGGTCATTTCCAGCTATGAATGCATTCACTGGTTTGAAAAGCATTAAATATTACAAGTACTGCCTGTTAAGCTGATTGATCTCTCAAAATACATAACGTGGTTTATTGTGTCATACAAACCCAGCTGTTCTGTGATAATATTCTGTGCTGTTGAGAAGAACGTAAGATAAAATAGAAAAATACTGTGGCTCAAAATACGGATGTGTGGTTTTTAAAGAGAAAAAATATTACTTGTAAATATAGTAAATACTAAACTATTAACATTAATAGAAAAATATTAAGTTTAAATATTGGAATATGCCTTGAGATCACATTACTTTCAGTATCTGATACAAAAAAATGGAGTTGGAATAATAAGGAATTAAGAACAACTTTAATAACTGCTGTGAGATTAACCATAACTAACAATTAGAAGGTAAAAATGTGATTATCAATTCTGTGATTGGTACAGAAAAGTTTGGAATATAGCTATTAAGGGTAAATTAAGCTGTGATGTTAAAGTGAGAAAAGGGCATATAAAGAAAAATCAGTTTAACAAGATTTGGGGATGTGTTATAAAAAGGGAAAGGATTTGAACCGTCAAAAGATTTACTGACGTTTTGGAAGGGGGAAATGTCTTGAAAGAATATTTGAATGAATTTTTATCCTACAAACCTGATAGTGGGGGCACAATATTTTAAAGGTTTAATTGTATGTTAAATCTTATATGGTTTTATTGTAGCTATAAGCATTCCAAGTTATATTTTAGATTGAAAAATTTTAAAAATTAAAAAATATGGATGTGTTGTGAACATCTGCAGGAAGGGGCTTACCGAACTAACTGAAGAACACAGTCCTAATATTGGGAGTTCAAAACATGACTACAGTCCATTCAGTTGCATGTACAGTACTGCTAAATACTTGGAGTATTAAAGCATTACATGTGTAGCAGCAATGAGACAAATTGCAGTGGTGTGTTACTTTTTAGTTGCCATTTAGTGGCAACTGACATGAGCACCAAAACAAATGGTTCTAGAGTTGGTAACTGAATAGCCAATGCCATTTCAGATGGGAAAAAGATATTTTAGCCACCCCATATATTCCTTCAGTATTGGTGTCACTTTCCAATTGTGCTTTGAATCGCTGCAAATAAGGATTGTCAGAATATATGGAAAGGAGAGAGCAATAAGCCCTGTATTATTTAAATGAGAAAAGTGTTGCTGTTTTTCAAAGAAAATATAGCTATTCCCAACAGCAGAATGTTTATAATGTAATTTATATTGGTCCATAATTAATAATATTGTTAATGTTAATAACAATATTAATTATGTTAATTGATATTGTTAATGTTTGTGACATTTAACCCTTTTTTATTAAACAGGCCTGTACCTAAACTTCCACTTCATGTGCCTCGATCCTGCAATGGTGCTTCTATGAAATGAACAAATAGATCACCTCCTGAAAAGTGAAGACAGAAGTTTGCACTATTTTCAACTCTTGTTAAAGATCAATATTTTTATATCAATAAGTAAAATTTTTGACATGTAAACCCCTGTTATTTCTAAGAACTCTGAGCTGCTGCCTTTGGTGCTATGCTGTGTGAAGGTGGTCTGCGTCCTTGCTCAGGTACTGATAAATTATTAATTTATATTGAATATTTATTACAGTGCAGAGCACTGTAGTAGATATGGTTTCATCATTACCACGTTTTCCTAGGAAGGAAGCCATTTTGTGATGTTTGAACCATCCTTCACTACAGATTTCTCAAGAGGCTATACACTCTCCTCAAAGATTATTTACTTTAGATCTTGTTCTTTACTGCAGGGCTGGAAGTACGTTCAGCATGCTGACTAGGGTTGAAATGAAACTGCTGAAATTGAGGGACTAATACAATTTCAAAGGCCGTGACAGTCAAATCTGGAAGTAAAAGATGAGTTCAGTGTGAAATTTAAGGAAAAGTGAAGCAAACCATTGCTAGTTCTGTTAGCCAAGAATCTGAACTTCAGTCAGGAAGAATGGTAGCGTAAGTGCATAAAAATCAAATATGAGTAATTGTCTGGATGTATACATTTATTTAGGGCAAGATGTTGACCAAAGCATTATGTAATGGCTTCTGTGTAAAAATTCAGATGTTAATTGTTGACATCAGTGCTTACAACATATGAGTTTACCCTGTACCATCAGACTTTTATTATAGCTTTCTATAAATGGAGTGCTGTTTGGCCTAATGCTGTGCACTAGCAAATTAGAGTGCTCTCTCTTTGCAAAGTAATAGGGTAGGTGCTTTTGATGTTAACTCCAGTCTACATGATGGTCCAGGAAAAGGATTCTTCACAGCATGATATAGTGGGATATACAACAGCTGTTTGGGGAAAATAATGTAATATATGCAAAAGCCATTAGGCACTTTTTAATACCATCTACCTCCACCATCATAGTGCAGAATCATCCTTAAAAAATTTTGAACCAATTTTGAGGTTCAAATATCTATCCTACTATCAGCACACGATTTTGATGGGCAATCTAGTCTTCAGTAACCTTACCTAACATATGACTTTGGAGGCCACTTCAAGAGAATCCAGTTTGTATTTATAGGATGATTTGTTTCAGCTCTAGTATGTCTAGTCATTGATCAGCCTTCATTCAAAGCCAAAATCCCACTGGTTTAGATATGCCTTCAGATATATTACACTAGCACAAACCATTTTTTCTTGGTGAAATATCCCAGCATCTGCTCACAGCTGTGTATATTACCTGTATTTCAAGACAGTGTATAGGCTTTTAAAATAATTTTCTTAATGAAAGAGTACTGTATATTGTATGAGGCAATTTTAACTTCATTTGTTTGTTTTTAGGCATGGTATATGATTTAATGCTTTGACAATTAATTCCAGTCACTACAGCGCAAAGGTACTGGCACTTTTCTGTGATCCATGGTGCAGTAGGTCATATAACCACACTGATCATATGTATTTCCACACATCACCTATACCAATCCTTTATCTGTCCTCCAAAGAGAAACATGTAATATAGGAAAGCAAAGGACAGGGTCTTCCTTTAGGGCAGTGGTGAGTAACATACAGCCAGTGGATTGCATGTCCCCTTGCAAAGCTAAATTTGCCACCAAAATCTGACAGTATGCAATGGCCAACCCACTCCCACCCCAGAGTTTTCTTCAAAACAAAGTGTGCTCCACCCTCACAGTTTATTTTAATGGGGAATTGATGTTTGTTTGGATACTCAGTGGATAAGGGTGGAGGAAGATTGGTTCTTGGAAGCTGTCCATGCTTTAGGGTTTGGGAGCATGGTAGGCCTTCTGAAGAACTGATAGATTAACCCTGCCCTGGGATGAGAGATCTTTTCTCTCCTGAGGACCACATTCCCTCAGGGTCTCCATCCATCACTGAAATACTCCCTTTGTTGGGCCTTTTTCACACACTACAATCCAAAGAACTCAACACTTTTGAAACATTTATGAAAGTGACCAGTCTTCATAATAAAACTTTACTTACTTAAAAAATGCTGCATTTTACAAATACATTATTACTGTAATGTCACCAATGGAACGGATAAATGTTGTTCCAGGACTTTATTTCTGTTAGGTTTGCTCCTTTGAGTCCCCCCCCCCATTTAGTTCTACATGTTTCTGTGCAGAGTTTGAAGTGGTAAAATCCAAATGCATATATAGGCATATATTTATCTTACAATATATCTTACATTGTGTAGACAAGATGATCTTATGACAGAATAGATTGTATAAAAACAAAAAATTCTGAAAATTATTGAAATCTTTATACTTAATAAAGTAGGCTTTTCTTTCTACATTACTGAGTTGAGGTATTGCAGTCTGAGAGTATATTTGTCCAAAGTATTTGAGTGTGAATTTGCTGATATATAGTAGGTCCAATTATTCAACCAAATGTTTTCTAAAATACTTAGGGTGCAATCATGTGGAGATGAGTGTAGATATGTATGTGCTGTATGTTCTTCATTAGTAAATGTGTGACAGTACAATAGACTGAAACATAAGACTTCCACATAAAGATCCAAAGGTCCTCAAGATGACAGCCTACAAAGTATGTTATCTCAGTCCAATCAGAGTTAGATTGGACTGAAAATAAAATGACTTGCCAAGTTAATTCACAGCTAATCAATTTAACTGTGGATGACCCCAGAGACAGTAGTAAATGTTTTACAATCATAAAGTCCATGGGCCCTGAGTATGGTCTCAAGGCACATAAAGATCCATCATGTTGAAGCTAAGCAGGTCTGAGGTTGGATTGAGCTTGGAGGAGAAACCACCTGGGAACTACATGTAGCCACCTTGAGTTCCTCAACAGGAGAAAGGTGGGATATAAATAGAAATAAATAAATAAATCTCAAAAGGATCATAGGTAACAGGGTGGGAAATGATCCCTCTGACTGATGACCTTTGCCACTAAATGAAGTTCATTTGGTTTAGAGCCGCTTCATATATGAAACTGCCAACTAAGACAGAGGACTTGCCCAGCCTGGATACATGCGATCCTTTAAACTTAATATCGTTCTCAATGATATTCTGCCCTCCTATTGTCTTACCTTACTGTTTACAGTTAGGGAATTTCTGAGTATTTATTTTTACTTCTCCAGATCACCTAAGCAATAATCCAGGGCTGAATATTTTGTAAGTGGGGGTGAAGAACTAACCCAACAATAAAAGGGGAGCAGCTTGGATATGCTAGATGGAATTGGGGAACCCTATAGGATCCTTTCCATCCCTGATTCAGATCTTTATGAAAACAATCTCATATTCAATACTGTCAGAATTAGATTCACTTCTTCTTTTTACCAATATTAAACCATTCTATTCCTGCTAAAGAAGAACAGGTTTACATATTTTTTTTCCTGTCAACATAATGTTGACAAATAATTTGTTCTGCAATATAGAAAACTGTTATCAACTTCTAGAATTTTGGTCATCACTGTAGTGTGTATAGCATGCTAATATTCAGAGTCGGTAGTATGTGCTTCTTCAGGCAGAAAAACAGGCCTTAGAAGACCTTTGGCCTTTTTCCAGTAAGTAATTTATCTTTCCCAATTACTGCGCCCTGTATCTAGGCAACCAGAGCAACCCTGCTTATGAATAAGCCAAATAAATATATCCACATCACAAACAAAACCAATAAAGCAAAACAGAATCCTCCTTAGAAAATAGTTTGGCTCCTAAAGCTTGCATATGTTATGGTGTAATTAATTTATAAGGTATTTTAGAAAATGTTAATGCAATATTTATGCTAAATGAGGAGAGTTACTGATGATAGTAGCATTCAACCTTTTTTTTTAGATGGGATTTGGCATTTCAGCTGAAATGAAAGGCAGGTGCTGCTGGAACTCTTAAATTGCCTTTCATGCATCTTGAGTAGTTTCTGGGTCTGCCAAGTGCATCCTACTTTTTCATTCAGCACATTCATTCCAATTCACTGCCATTCAGAAAAAAACCACTTAAGCTTTTGATTGAAGTAGTTATCATATTTTATTTCATTTAGTGGGAATTCTTGAAAGAGATTGCCTTTAAAAAAATGCCAGATTTTCCTCAGTTTAAACTGTCTTTTTGCTAATACAAATAGCATTGGACTAGTGGAGAAAAGGTACCAATCATTTGTACATGAGGTAAAGAATTCTCCTATGCCATATTAGCCTGCACCAGGTCTCTCCACATTGCAGTGTCAAAAGAGGTCAGCTTACCAAGGATCAAATGTATACTGAAATTTTGGATCAGACATACTTCAGCCAATCTAGCACTGGAGAACATCATGTACATTTTTCTGTCTGCATATCTTTTTGGAAGTTGGTATGTTACTGCCCATGATTTCTGGGCAATATTTCTAGACTGAGATGTTGTCTTCTAGTTGTGTATATCAAAATGATAGGTATTGATAGTTTATTCACACTTGCAACAATGTTTTCTTCCAGATGTAGATATGACTGAATTAAAAACAATCACAAATAGCTGCAAAAATATAGAGAATGGAGGAACAAAACAAATATCAATTAAAATACTAAATAATTCAACAAAACATTAATAAATTTAAGAAAATAACCCATCTTCTCATAATGTATGTGCACATATATTTACCATTTTATACATGGGAATCATTACTTCAAGCTGAAATTCAAATCCAGGTCAAAGTTCTACTCAGTAGTTACTAGATATCAGGTCAGGAATCTAATACTTTTTAACTGATGACGAAGTGCCAGCTAAAGATACTATTGTGCATATCACTATTTGCACAAGGCATATATACAAAACACGAAAAGGGGAGAGGAGAGTGAGCAAGCGAGTGAGTGCAAAAGTTAATGATAATAGAGTTCCTGCACCTTGGCTACCTTGCAGTTTGAAAAGGAAATAATGAGCTAGTTCAGAATCCACAGGATTAGGTCTCTTTGCTCCCCTAATACCCCACCACCACCCCAAAGATAGCTAGGAACTACTACTGTCCAGATGACATAAGCAATAGGAGATGAAAACAGTGGAGACCAGCATGAGCCACTAGGGCTTAGGAATGGCAGTTCCTCCACCATGGTCCTCCGACCAACACCTTAGGATTGCTCTATTAATGCATAGCCACATCTCCATTCTGGCACAA